GGAAAGTAATTTACTCTTACCAGGGTACCATAATTGTAAGATTTTTAAAAAATGAACCACCACTAAAATTTAGAGTAAAACATTTAAAAGTACATTTATTTAAAACTTGGGCAAAATAGCAATATAAAAGAAAATAGAGTATAAGAAATAAAAATAAAGTACAAAACATTTTAATCTTCAACATCCATAATTTAATAGATAGCAAGCCCTTTCTGATTTTTACATCCACATTTTACTTTTGGCTGAAGTACCATAGATTTGTCAAAACATTTAGAAACTGGCTAATCGTGATACCTAAAGTGGGCTCTTAAAATGGTAGTATAATACAAAACATAGTAAATTATGTTTCCTCATAATAAAATTACACATCCTAAAAAAGATGCAGTTTATTTTTGCTTTCCTGCTTTAAACTGCTCATCACCCTAAGGAAAACAGCTGGAAAACAGCATCCACAGGAAGTATTAGTTCCTTTATACGGTGGCTGGAACAGCTAGATTTAATGCTCCAAGGACTCCGAAGCAATAAGGCATTTTACTAGCCATCAAGTAAATTTGCATGTAAGTTTGTTAAGGAAAGCACATACTTTCTTATAAAGACATAGAACACTTACATTGCTTTTCTTGAGAGAATACAGTAATTATCAAAATGTTTATAACTTACTGGAACAGAACTGTTTACCACCCATAGAAACCTCCAATGATATGCTACCACCTACTTTTTGTGGTGCCCATAGTCATCTCTTCTAGACTGTGTGTTAAACAAGCCAAAATGTTTGTTTTTTCCTTCTGAAAAATCCATCACTTACACCCTATTTATTCAGTACCTTGTACATCCATCATTGATAAATGGTTCCATTTCTTTAAAGGCTTTTTTTTCAATAATCTGGACAAGAGATGACATTTTTAAAATAAATCATCATTCGACTCACTTCCAACTTGCCAACCAAATGGGGTTCTCTGAACTTCAAGGGAATTCCCAATAGCCTGTCAAATGCTGAGAAAACAGTGAATGGTCTTACAAATCCACTCATGTCTTAAGTGAAGACGAAGAAAGACTAGTGAATGCATTACATAGTCAATACCCAAGACATCACCTACTGTGCAAAAAAGGATGATGCTGAATGCGACAGAGGAGGCTATTCAGGTGAATGGCTGTAATCTCTTCTGTACAGGGGCAGATGGGGAAATTACCAAATTCATTCCACTATGAATCGAAATCAGATCTCTAGAAACCAGAGACTGTGTTACTCTACCACACCTTCTACTATAGAAATACATTTCATAACATGGTGGTCTCCTTAACAAGCCCTTAAGTATTACGTAGTTTCCACAATAAAAGGATATGATTCATAATCCAGTGTTTGAGTAAGTACTCCAGTCAGAACAAACTCGGCATTATGGACATCTAGAAACAAAAAAAATAACGAGACAGTCTTCTATACTCTGCTTTGTGAGAGGCATAGGGATCATTGGAGACACCTGACTGACAGATTTCAGGGGAAATCAGGAAAGTGTGGATTGTCTTAATGTGAATATATACTCTCTACCAAGGGAACAACTCCACTGCGTTGGGCTGGTTTGTCTGTACAATCAACCACCAAGGTGTTGAGCCCTCATTCTGCACACAGCTTCTTGTGGGTAGGGTCTGGCATCCTTGCAGAGGCCCAGTGCAGCTTTATAGGGGTGCCAGGTCTGTCCACATGGAGCTCAGTTCAGCTTAGCTCAACGCTCTGGTGATGAAGGAGATTTGGGTTGGATGAAGCGGTCTCTATGAATGTGCGGGGCCCAGGGCATATCAGTCTGTGTCGGGCCCGAGGTGGGGGGGTGGGGTGGCGAGCAGCTGGAGCCGGTGGAGCGGAGTGGCAAGCATCCGGAGTCTGCAGTGCTTGGCAACAGCAGAGCCAACGGCGCTCACCAGTGGCAGTCATGGCGGGGCCTGTACGACACAGTCTGCGGGCACCTGCCCTCCCCTCTCCCCGAAGCAAGGGGCCCAGGACAGTCACCCCAATTTGCTGCCTCCCATCTAGGGACTGCCTCGGTTGGGTGTTTGAAGTTTGAAAGCTGCTGGTTATTACACTGGGTCTACATTCCAGAGTAGTGTACGTACAGTTAACTTGACTACTTTCTAGATGAGATACGTCACCATGATAGTTTAATTCTTTGTTGTTGCAATGCCCAGTTAGCACCCCCAGATATTAACTCCTGATAACTCATCACTATGGAATAATCTGCCATTTGCGTTCCTCTTAACCAGAGTATACTGTGGTGCTTCAGTACTGACTGCAAATCCTACTATTAGCACGGAAGCACTTTGTGCACACATGATCAGAATCCTTGGCTAGGAAGTTCAGGTGGGGCCACTTGTGGGCATCTGAACATCACTAAAGGAGCAGAAAAAAACCTATTTAAGAACTGAGAACATTCCATAAAAGAGCTGTTCTTCACCCTTGCTTATTTAAGAAAAAAATGAAGTAGACACTAGGCATATCTACAGTCTAACTATAAAGACAGCTCAGTTAAGTTATCTCAGGTACTGGATAGGCAGCAATCCAGGAATGACAGCATGGAGCTGAATACAGACTAGGTTATCTTGCTGAGAATGGGTTAAATTAGCCTATATTGAGATTTGTGCTGCTATGGCAATATTGCTTGAGCTAGATAACTTAAAGCTAACTATGCTAACACTACACTGCAGTCTGCTGTACGGACTTAACAACCCCTTTAACTGTTTTCATCTGTGACTGTTGCCAATAACAGATGCACATACTTGATGAAAAATAAATACAGAAAACAAATGAATTCTTGAGTTGCACGTATGGACGTGATTATACTGGCAGTGTATACATACCTATGCCTCGGGCAAAATATTCTCGACATAAGTGAAGATCATTTTCACAGGATATCAGGATTATTTCTGGCAAACTCTAAATTGAAGAAACTAAATATGAGCTCAATAACACAAAAAGCAAAATATTTTATAAAAAAATACATTTTACAAATTATATTTCACCCACTTTGTTTTGTTTATGTTCCATAAGTTTCCGAAATGAAGGTTGTTTGGATAATACTTTTCCTCCTGCACATTCCACAATAGCTTTCATGGTAGAAAGACTAGGACAAATTCCAGGTGTAATGTAAAAATATTTTCCCTAAAAATAAAAACACAACAAAAAAACGATTAAAAGTCAATGGAAAAGGGCTGCCTCTGGACTAGTGGCTTCTAATATGCATCTTGGGGTGACCTACTGCCATGCAATTCATTTTACAGATTAAGGCTCATACTGTCAGATGGCATATATTAGCACTGCCTCAATCTTAGTAGGGTTATGGCAAGACCCGTTTAAAAAGGCTTTTCACTTTCTTATAAAATGGAGACATGGGAGGGAAGCAGGGAGAAGGGGGAGACTGTCTGGATTTAAAGATGAAGTTAACAGGGACTTCAGAAATTCAGTCTTCTTTATACCTGAGGAGCAGCTAAAGAAGCGCTTTCTGTGACCGTTAGAACAATTACTATACTATAAACACTTTGAAATACCAAATCATTACAACTTTCAGGAATATTAAGACCGGTCAGGATGTGTAAAAAGGAATTTCCCTGTCTTTAATTGGAGAGGGGAAGAGGGGATGACTAATGGTTTATAAAGAGACAGAAAGAAGTCCCTTGTCCAAATAACCAGCAAACTTCTACCGCCTGCCAACAAAGCTGTAACTAGGCTCTTACCTACTTAATGGTGCATTTTTGCACCAGACTAACTTATACTAGTATCCACTGTACAGATGACAAACTCTCCAGACACACCAATGTAGAGTTGTGTCCTGTGTCTACTCCATGTTTACACATGTTCAATCTTGCTGTCTATCTACACCCTGAGACTACTGTACATGTTATCACGTAACACAGTATCTTTTCTGTTCCTGCTTTCCAGAAGAAGCCTAATTTTGTTATTTGGATTAGTAAAATGTAACAGAAGAATAAGATGTTATTTATCTTCTCAGATCTTACAACCAATGTTATTTCCTGAAACAATCCTAAATGTTACATCGCTTTTGGCTGCTCAACTTCTGACTGAAATAAGGCAGAAAATTTCAGGTTTCCTCACCAATAATTTATTTTGATTTTAAATGATAGATTTATGAAGTAAATAGGTTTCTGTTAAAAAAGCATTTCTACTCCATGTCTAAAATTGTTTCTTACAGTGCCTATGACCAGAGAAGAGTCTTATGTCTTAGTTGCTCTCAAGCAAACAGAGGCTGTTTGTCTTTTCCAAAAACATAGAACAGAAAGGCCAATAGCAATAGTCTTTCAGCCATTTATATAAAACAAAACCCAGCCAGAACAGGACCAGTACAAAGTGAGATAGTACTAAGTTACTGGAACAGATCAAATTATTAGTTTCATTTTAAGTTTAATAAGAAATTTGGAAAAGTACACATACAAATTCTCCAGAAATCATCGTTCTGCTCTCAGATAGAGTCTGAAAGTAAAGATTAAAATTGTGTGCGTGTGCGCGCACGTGTGTATTTTATTTATTTATTTATTCCCTCCCCCCCTGCAATTAAGTCATCCAATTTAAAACAGCTTTGTACCTTACGTGAAAGTGGAACCCTAACTGGATGTTATTGTTAGCAATGTTACACTTGTACAAATAGTGTAGGACTATCTTCCTTTATATATAGAGGCACACATTTCAACTAACAGCAACAAGACATTAGGTAGCATATTCTAGTCATTCTCTCATTTTGTTGAAGTCCCCCAAGACTTTAACCTTTTGTGATATCATGACACCTTCTTACATACACAAATACTTACAGAAAAGGTCACCTTAAATACTTGTACAGGAAAAGCCGTTACAATTAGCAGGAGAATTTTTCAAGACAGAACAAATGAATAACCAAACATGCCACCTGTTTTATTGTAGAAGCTATGGTCCCAAAGCTGAGAAATAAATTACGCAAATGCTCCATAGATTTAAGCATGTTCTTAAATTGTATACCTTAAAAAGTGGAGCTACTTGAGCTCTCTTCAGGGACTCCTCTAAACTGAAGCAGAAAAGCACTTCAGCTTCTGCATCTCTGAGCATGTAGTTCTGCTCGTCTGAAAAAAA